TGATCAAAAACTGTGTCATAAAGAACAAAAGAGGTGAAAATTGTAATACAATATGCCTTTCAGAAAGGTAACAAACCAGAACTACATAATTAGTATCTATCCAACTGGCCAATAGTCACATTGTGCTGTAGTGTTCTCAGTATCCTCATCAGTATTTAAAAACTAGTCTCATAAACGAAATGCAAAGATGCTATTATTAAAAAAATATCCATAAACCAAAAAAATGGAAATTAGCTTCATACAATTCCACATTAAATGGAGCTATTAAAATTACTTAAATCTTGAATCCAGATGCTAGAATAGCACTCCAATCATAATACTGCAAGATAAAATAAAAGGACTTCATCAATGTTCTTGCCACTTATACTATACATGGGCAATGGAGCTTGAGTGAAGAGGTGTATCATGCTTCACCTAAGAGTTCATGCCAACTTCAGTCCTCTCTTTTGTCCCAAATTCAGAAACTAACCAATAACTATAAAAATGATGAAAAAAGATTAATTCTATAGCATTTTGTCAAAATTAACTATTCTCGGCTTCTCTTATTCTGCATTCAAAAACAAGTACCTTATTAATTACAAAGTCGCAATAATTTATGCAAGTCCTTAAAGAAGCAAATAAAATACAATCAAGATCAAAACTCCATTACTTTTGAAGTTCCAGTATCCACGTTCTACATGACTCAGGAAAAGGCTGCTAAATCTTAACTAAGGCATAAAGAGGACACATGAGCAACCATCATAGTTAAATCATACTCTTAATAGGCAGAAAAATCACATGGTATTCTAGCGTGTAAATCACATAGATAGACCATATCCTGTTTTAAGCCAAACTTTGACCATTCCACCATGCTGAAAAATGCCAAAAATAATTGATAGGGGTCACAATTATATAGTACTCGGTAAGAATTCAACTAAGTAGATAAAAGAAATCTCTGATACGAATCAATATACCACAAGTGAATGATAGGACATTAATTTACCTAAAACAAAACTTTCTCTTCTCTTTCTTAGGAAGCTCATTGACATCATATTCAACTTGTTTAGACATAATTCATAATCAAAACATGAGCCTTAGTAGCAAAAACCACAACAGAGTGGCAAAAATAAGATCAAATATTCAGAGAACAAACAAAAATAACTTCAAAACAGATGAAGCCAACTTCAGTTATAAAATTTCTTAATATTCTTTTTGAAGATGAGCCTTTTTCCTGACCTTTTTCAACTAAGAAAGTAATCAGTAAAATTAATGATACGAATACAAAACTTTAAATAAGAAATTAGCCCTAACAAAATAAAAATGATAACCTGAAAGACAGTGGAGAATATTCTTAGCATTTCCTCTGCTTTGTGGACCGAGAAGCTATTTCTCTTTAATCCTGAAATGTTGAGAGAACAGTAGTGTGTTAGGAAAAAGATCAGATGACAGATAGATGGATTTCGTGATCTGAAATCTATTTCTGGTTTTTCTGGTTTCTCAATTCTCTTTTCACTTGCAAAATCACAAAATTACAGATCACATGACTGTACTGGAAAAAAAATGTGGTAGATAGAAGTAATACCTAGAGAATTCTAAGAGCTAGAGGCTTTAACTTCCACTTGTTTTTCCTATCATTTTCCTGAGCCAAAGAACTAAAGCTAGAACATCAAGGAATTTGATCTCAACAAACGGAGATTTTGAGTTGGTTATCCTACAGATTGCCTTTTGTGAGTCAATAGTTGCACATACACGTGCATAGAACAATCTAAAAGAAAAAAAAAAGTCCCATTAGATCAGCTTTAAAGAGTTCACAATTTAAAAAGGAAAAAAATCTCTAAAAGAGAAAAACTCGACTTCTTTCTAGGAATTCAAGTTATATGGTGGAGATGAAATTCAGATCTAGCCAAGGAAAATGACTTCTAGAATACTGATAGTGAGTTTCACATCAGATAGTGAGGATGAGATACCAACCTTCCTCTTCCTTGCATGAAGGAGAGGGAAAGGATTTGATGCTTTTTAGCCAAGGCAATATCAGGAAAAAAATGGCAGATAAACAGAAGATATCAGCCATTACTACCTGAGGGAGGGAGAGAAGAAGGAGATGAAAAAGAAGACAATGAGGAAATGGGAGAAGCTGATAATTAGGAGATGAGGAAAAAATCAGCATCAAAATTAGAAGAAATCAGCATCAAAATTAGGTGGTCAAAGGAAAATTGCAAAAGAAATTAGCATCTAGAAGAGAGTTGTCCAATATCAACATTAGCAAGAATACCAGGTAACTTCGTTAACAGACTTATCGAGTCCACCAACCTTGACTTTTTACATTTGACATTGGTTTGCTGATCATGATCTTTTGAGGCAAACAATCAGACACCTCATATACTTTAAAACTCTACTACTTCAACTAGCAACAAATGTTTTTAAGCCAAACATCGAACAAATTAACTAATAGCATGCTAAACATCTTAGCAAAGTATATATCACTTTGTAGGCATAAATCAAACATTATGTAGTAGATGGCATGCTAAACATCTATCCAAAGCAAACATGACATTCGAGGATTAAATCAAACGTTATTGATCCAGACCAAAGCAAAAAGGCCCCAGGATGTAATTTCTCTCACTTAAGCTATAAAAAGTCGTCCAGACATTATGAAATAGCTTGCTGCAACAAGACAGAAAATTATAAAGTTATGAGTAACTAACTAAAAGAATTTACAAACTGTTTGGTTGCTGCTGAGGAATGGCAATGAGAATCACTATGAAAGACCCCCTCAGTGGCAACGAGTGTCTGAAAATTCTTTGTAATGAAATCTGGTGTTTGGAAGTGCCATTGTGTAATGGGAATGATATATTTTAAAAATAAAAAAAATCCCTTAACTTTCTTCAATTTCCTTTCCTTTTCTTCCTTGCTGTTCATCTTCTTCCCAATTCGCAGCCACCTCCCACCGCAACCTCTTTTCTTTATTATTTGTTCTTATGTTGCTTGCTCTTTGATTTTGAGACACTGCCAACCCACCTCCCTTGGCCACTTTAGTTTTGTTTCCTGCTTCCATTTTGTGAAGACCCACTACTAGCACAATTCCATTTTTTTTCTTTTGTAATTCTTCTCCATCTTTTGACAACTGCCAAACTGCATGTTGCTGCCAAACGCTTTCACTGCTACTGCATCGGGATGTAAACTGAAGATATAATATACAAGACAGTAATCCTTAATCAATGGTGTGAGGGAAAGGGAGGGAACAAAGGTTGCAGAGATGGAGTAGAAAGGGAAGGCAAGAGGCGGCAATATGGAGGGTGGTGGGAGAGAGGAAAGGAAGAGAGGTTACAGGGATGGAGTAGAAGGGGAAGAGGAGATGCATTCTCCTTCTTTTTCCTTTTTCTTCAACTTTAATTTTGATTATTTTTATTTTGTTCTAAAAGGTGGAGGAATGAGAAGTGAAAGTGCCCAAATTGGTGGGGAATGAGTTTTTGGTATTTGAAGACCTAAAAGTGGGTAATCAAAAAAGTCATAGTAGTCTACCAAGCACCATCAGTGGGAGTGATTACCCTCTTATTCCCATTGAGGGGTACAAAACCTCCCAACCAAACGGGTGGTTAGTAGAAACAGTCAATCCACATCCTTTTATTCTAAGTTTCCCACCTAGATAGAGTTGCTAAAAATATCAACTGGAGAATTAAACTTTGAGAGCACAGGGAAAAAAAAGATAAGACCGTGAAATTATCATAATTTTCAATGCAAAAGAGTGAAAACATAAAATAATGGACCTCAAGGATCATCACTGGATAGAGACCTTAGAACCTCCTCTTATTCATGACTTCACTGGAATTTTAGGGAACAATTCAACATGCAGCACAAGTTTCTCTTTGATAACTGTATACTGTCAGGAAAACAAAAAAAAAAGAAGAAAGAAATAGACAAGGTAACCATATAATAGGCAAAATTACATAATAAAAAAGAATAACAAAAAACCTGAGAAAAATAACATATCTTCAGTCATTTATCCTCCATTTCTTGAAGACCTAATAATAGTGGTAAAGAGATTAAACAAACAGTGTTGATAACAAATCTCTCAAAGCAAAAACAGCCGCAGAACACAGAAAATTTGAAACATAAGCCACTGCACATACCCACAAGGCTCAACGAAGAAAATGTTCCATCTTTTTTTCTTTCTTACTTTATCTGACATATACCTTGAATCAGAAAATTTTGACCAAATCAGATTTGTTAGAAAGACTTTAAAAAACATTCTGAGGAAACAAAACCTGAGGTTAACTCATTTTTGGACCTAAAAAATTGAAAAAAGAAACACAGAAGCCTAACAAGTCTTCACCTTGAGACAAGAATCTCTACAATTCTTCATCCTTGATGATAGTCTTGATCTCTCAACCTGTAGCAAAAGTATGGAACTTGTTAGAGAATAAAAGAAAATTTAATCAAGGGGGAAAAAAGGATACACAATATTAAAATGGAGAAAGCAGTGGACTTGAGAGACAAACAAAAAATAAATAAGAGAGAGATGGAGAGAAGAATATTGACTTATGCTGAACACAAGAAAAGGGAAGAAGAGCAGAGGAAGAATATTGATTGATCGAGTAAAGGAAAAAGGGAAAAGAAGAGGAGAGGAGGACGTCTGGAGTGGGTAGTTCTCACTACGGATCTTCTGTCCCACCCTGTGCCACTCTCTGTTCCACTTTTTATTATATTGCTATTTCTCCTACATAAATATCATGTTTTAGTTCTTTTTTGTTTCCTTAAGATCCAATAACTATTAGCTAAATAATACAAAAAATTTAACAAACTCAAAAAATCAAAATGCATAAAAAATGAGATTTTTTATGAATTTTCTGCTGTATTTTTAATTTCTATTACATATTACTTTTTTGAAGCTGTTGTATTTATTTTTTATTCAATTGATAGTTATTGGATCTTAAGGAAACAAAAAAGAACTAAAACATGAAGTTTATGTAGAAGAAATAGCAATATAATAAAAAGTGGGACAGAGAGTGGTACAGAGTGTAAGACAGAAGATCCGTTGCGGGTAGATCTAGGGCAGTTCCTGATTTCCAGTGAAGACCTTGAGCCCAACGCTGTCCCAAATGGGAAAAAAACATGTCACGTGCAGGACACGTGTGAGGATGACCAAACTTGCCACCAATCTCCTTTTGCCACGTCACTAAGAAGCCAATCCCCTTGTGCCACATGGGCGGCCGACCATTCATACATGGTAGGGGAGATGTTCATGCTTATACGATATGGTTGATAATGTATTGGGCAAGTGTGTGCTAGCATAGTTGACAGGATGATTAAATTAGAGAAATTCATTATGTAACTCAGGCATTATCTTGTTGAAACCATGTTCAATGACTAGGTTGTCATTTGAGCTGTTTTTTTTATTTTTCTTTTTTTGGATTTTCCATTCCATATTGTTTACATGTATAGTAGGTAATAGATGAACTAATCTACTTGATACTTGTGCAGTATTGCTCAAGAGGTGGTGTTCATTTGTCATTGGTTCGTCAACTAGTGCAACCATAATTTCCTATTTAATTATGTTTTCAAAATTAGTTGAGCCCGGCTGCATAAGCATGAAACTTGAAATTTACATGTGTATAAACCAAGCTATTCAACATCAGTTTGAGCATGGCTTAGTAATACTGGGTTGTTTTAGCTCAGCTCAAGTTAAGATCAAAGCAAGATCTTTTCAAAGAAAAAAAAATCATACCAAGCTTGAATATTGTATTGTTTGACTAGATTAGGTTTGTTGAAACCCCTAGTTGCAATGTATGTTCTTTAGTAGATTAGTTTTTTTTTTTTTGGAATATAATGAGTTATAAGCATGTTCAGTACCATGAATTTGTTGTTCTATTTGTTTCTTTTCAGTGTTTTTCTTTGTGTGAATGCAGAAATGGGAGACAAAGAAGACCAGCTTGATATGACGCAAAAGGGTTTCATACCCTATTATGGACAATTGTTTGATTCAGACGACGAAGCTTACAAATTCTACAACATGTATGCAGCAACCATTGGATTTGGTGTTCGAAAAGAATATTGTAACAAAGATAAATTGGGAATGGTAACTTCAAGGAAGTTTGCATGTAATAAAGAAGGATTCCGGCGTCAGGATAAAAGGGATAGGGAAACAAAGAGACCTCGCGCAGAAACTAAGACAGGATGCCTTGCTTGTGTCATTGTACTACTTGACAGGGACACAAAAATGTATAAGGTGACACAATTTGTGGCAGAGCACAATCATCCATTGCATATTCCACAATGCGTACACATGATCCCCTCACAGAGAAGGACAACAATTACACAGGATAATTCTGAATTGGTTGATGCATATGGGTTATCATTGAAGCAGTCCAATAACCTTGTAGATAAGTTGGGGTATCTTCCAAACAAGCGCTCTAGAGGCTTAAGGTTTGGGGAAGCTGGAACCATTTTCAGATATTTTCAACAGCAACTTCTGGAAAACCCATCATTTTACTTTGCTGTACAATTGGATAGTGAGGAACAATTAACTAATGTCTTTTGGGCTGATGCAAGGATGACTATAGACTACAAATATTTTGGAGAGGTGGTTACTTTTGACACGACATTTAGAACAAACGAGGAATATCGTCCTTTGGGCATTTTTCTGGGATTTAATCATCACCGCCAGATGGTAATATTTGGTGCTGCACTATTATATGATGACAGTGTTGACTCCTACAAATGGTTGTTCCAAACCTTTCTAGAAGCCATGTCTGGTAAGCCACCGAGAACATTCTTCACGGATCAAGAACCAGCCATGGCAAAAGCTTCAGCTTCAGTGATGCCAAACACCTTCCATGGGTTGTGCACGCATCATATTCGTCAAAATTTCCTGAAACACCTTGGCCACATGATGAGGACTGAAACGGGTCTGGTACAATTGTTTAGCAAGTGTATGCTTGAAATTGAAGATGAAGTAGCATTTGAGGAAACTTGGAGAGAGATGCTTCAGAAACATAACCTGGATTCTAATACATGGCTTAAGAGTATTTATGAGCTGAGAGAAAAATGGGCAAAGACATACATGAAGACAAAGCTCACATTAGGCATGCGAAGCAAGCAACTCAGCAAAAGCTTCAATGCAGACCTCAAGCATCATTTAAAGACTGATCAAGATTTGGTGGAATTCTTTACCGAGTTTCATAGGGCTGTTGAGAAAAGAAGATACAAAGAATTGACTGCTGAATATGGGGCAAGGCAAAAGGTGCCAAGTTTGAAGATAAAGTACTCACCCATGCTTAATCAGGTTGCAGAGATATATACTCCTACTATATTTGAGGAGTTCCAAGATGAGTTTGACGTATCTCTTGCCTTGGTAGTGAAGGGTCATACAGTAAATGATAATGTGCATGAGTATATGTTGGCACGCTATAATGGAGGAGATGATCAGAGAGTCATTTGTGAGAAATCTACTCAATCAGTCTTGTGTAGTTGTCAGAAGTATGAATGTGAAGGAATTTTGTGCTCCCATGCAATCAAAGTACTAGATTTACTTAACATAAAGTTAGTGCCTAATGATTTAATAGAAAAGAGATGGACAAGAGATGCAAAAAAAGGAATTTTGAAAGGACCTAACCAGGAGAATGATATGGAGGAGGATGTCCATTTGAAAGTTGTAGGGCGGTATAGAATGCTGTGTTCAACTTTAGTTAGGGTTGCTATTAGGGCTGCAGAATGTCAAGAAGCTACAGACTACCTTGTGCAATGTGTGGATAAGTTGACAAGAAAAGTTGAAGAAATATGTAATAAGCAGATGTCAATTGAACAAGCTAGCACAAATCACCAGTCATCTTATAATGCAACAGACCAAGAAGATGTTTTGGTAATTTCCATGGATGTAAACCCATCAGGCTCAAAAAGTGGACAGGGCTGCAAGTCCAATAAACGGACAGGAAGCTGGACTGACATGTTCGGTGAAAAGAGTATGTATGAGTCAAATAACAACCAAGTTCAGGTAGTTGTAACTAGTACCTATAATCTTTTCAAGTTTGTTTAGTGGTAGACTTCATGTGCAGCATTTGAGATTGATCACACTTCCTTTTTTCATAGATTGCTGATCAAAGCCAAGAAGTTTCAGTTGACCATGTGTCTTCTCCTCAATCAGCTAATAACTCTGTTTCAGTAAGTAATATAGAAAATACTTTTGTTAAATGAACAACATTTCCTTCATGGTTGTTAGCTAAATAAGAACTGTTGGTTGTGTTATGTGATGCTCAGGCTAGGTCTTGCTCCCAATCTACTAGTGACCCTTTGCATTTACATCAAGCTACTACGTGTCCGTCCCAGGTAAACACTGATCATTGAGCAATTAAATTGGCAGTTTACCACTCTCTCAAATTACGCCTGCTCTATAATGCAAAAAATTGCTTCAAATGTCTGAGAATGGTAGGTTGGTGCTGAAAAACTGGAGGCACTTTTGCCCATACTAATACTTTTTGAATGATTCAGGATAGCAATAGCAATTCCCTCTTTGGTCAATCTTCTGTGGAAGTGGTCCAACGTGCGAACAATGTATGTTTGTTTATATAATAAGGATTTGTATTTTTGGAGACACTATATGGCACCAAATTTTGTGATGATATCTGTGACATTGTTAACGGGTTTGTTTTGTGCCACATAAGGGTGCTGTATTGGAAAATAGGAACTTCTTAATGAACTTCAATGGGCTTGGTACTGCAATGTCTCCCACTGGAACTCAGTTTCTGATGGTAAAGCAATCCATATTCTATTATCACCATATGTATCTGCAGAGTTTGTACTTGTGTGATTAATTTTTAATTACTTTTATATTGGGGTGCTTTTGCTGGTGCACAGCCACATTGGGCTGCTAATCAGAGCTGAGAAATCAACTATCAGTTGTCATCAACATACCTGCTTGTGAGGGGTTTGCAAGATAATCTATTTTATGTAAAGTTCCTAGGTTATATGATGTATTTTTGTGGCTAATGCAAATTGTAATGGAGTACTAAGCTCTTCTTTATGGAATATAATATCTTTTTGAAGCTTTTGACTTTGTTGGCTGGTGTTTGTTTTACAAGGTTTAGAACTGTATTGATATATGATAATGTCTACCTCAGGACAAAATATGTGTTGAGGCGATTAGGTGTTGTAGTTGTAACAAGAAAGTACAAGGGTATAAATGAAAAATGTCAATTGAGCATATGATCGGAAGTAACTTGTTACACACCTAAGCTGATTACTAGATTTGATTGATCTTCCTTCCTTACCATATGAATTACCCTACTAGTTTACTTGAAGACTTGGTTTTTTTCAGAGTTGACAGCGCAGCATAGTGTTACTTTTGTGCAATTACCCAAATACAGATTTTCCTTTCTTTGTTCTCGTGCTATTTCACAGTGAATAAATTGGTAAAGAATATCTAAGCAAATGAGTACAGCTGTCATTTGGACTGTAAAAAAAGTCTATTTTGCTGCAATTCCACTGACTATGATTGCTTCCTGTCAGTCATTTACGCTTCATTTGCTGTCTCACATGCTGCTGCATTTTAACCCTTGGGTTAAAGTGATTAAGCCTAACCACTCTGGCAATAAAATACACGTAGTAGACTCTGTACAGTTTCATATAAGATATAAATGTATGCCATGCCGATAACTTGATGTAACATGCAGCACTCCTTTTGATATTTTCTGCTCTTTTCCTGTATCTTAAGAGGGGTCTTTTTACGTATAAATAGTTCTTAGGGATTCCTATTGGCTGCATGATTCCACGTGTTATCAATTTCTTTTACCTGGGCTTTTGGAGTAATAGTTGATTTCTGATTTTGAAGTTAAGTCTCACAAGATGATATGAGAATTTCACAGCCAAATCCGCTAAAAATGATTTCTCAAATAGAGCTGTTCTTGATACCCCCTTAACTTTTGGTGGTAAAGCCCTAGAACATGTCTCATTTCATCATCAGCAACGTTGAAGAAGGCAGCAACTCCTTGTCTTTTCTGAACATCAATCACTAGTAAGTTTAAGTTTTTGAGTTTATAACTGTTTAATGACCACTTGATTTTCAAAGGGAATGCTAATGTTTAATTGTATTTTTTCAGTTTATGAATTTTGTTCAGAATGTTGTTATTGTTAAAACTATTCTTTTGTATGGTGAAGTTGCTTCATTGAACTTAATTTTGTATAGATTTGGTGAAAATGTATGGACTTATTCTACACACAGGATTTCCTGGAGAATTGAATGTAATAATATTTACATGATCATAAGGTTTCTGACCTTTTTTGTTCTTTCTTGGTCTTCTGCTACTGTTTTATCTTGGAGAGGTGAAGTAGAGTTGCTTGTGGGATTCTCTTAGATAAGCTTGGTGTGACGATAGAGTTGGATCCAACAATTTTCATGCCATTTGTGATGGATAATGTGATTACTGATAAGTCCCATTCTTTTTTGCCCAAGCTAGCTTCTTGCCCTTTTGTTCATTAATGCTGACATTTGGAAGAGCTCCTCAAAAGGGGAGTTAGCATTATTGCTCAACATGAGAAACTTGTTTGTGTGCATTGTCTTTGTGGTCAGTTCAGTAGTCTTGTAACTTTCTACATTTTTGACAGAATTGTTTGAAGCTCATTGTTGAATAGCTAAACTATAGTTAGAAAGTTTATTTGACTTGAATGTACAAAATTTGAACTTAATTCTTGAAACTCTTGTTATGGATTAAAGGCAATACAGAGCTATACACCCCGAGTGCTGAAAATCCACATTTTGAGAAGTTTCGCATGTTGTGATTTTCGCTGAATTTTCCCATATATTTATTTTATTTTATTTTAAGAATCAAAATATTGCCTCATTCTTCTGCTGGAAAATTTGTGAAATATGTAGAAAGGATAGACCTTGCGAATCTTTTGCAAAGATGAGGTGATAATTGTTTTTCCCACCTGATTGGACTGTTAGGAAGGAAAGGTTTATTCTAACGTGGTTTATTGTTGAGTTTGTAACTTTTCGATCTTTAGCTTTGTCCTGGGCATGTTTTTTCACGCTCAGTTGTTGGGAACAACTTCATATTAATTCAGATGCCTATTCTAATGCTCTCATTGTTGCTACTCTTGTTTCACTTACCTTCGTACTAGGTATCTCCAATGACTTCAAGTGGGTTCTTGGAGCAGCATTCTCTCTTTTCTTCTACAAGGTTTTCCTTTGATGTTCATACTTGAGTTTGAGTATGGTCTAATATTTTCCATGTGCTGATGACTAACTTTTTCATGAATTTGTTGCCCTATATTCATCCATAAATGAGGAGCAAAGAGCTTGTGAATCCTTAAATCTTGGACAAAGAAATGCCACCTGCTGTTTTTGGGAAGAATCTTTCAAGTTTTGCTGGCACTGTTCTTGTGAGGTAAAGATTGTTGGGAGTTTGCTGACATGTAAAGAATGTGAGATATATTTGCTTTTGACACCTTAGATTTTGGCTTCGTCTTGATGTCTCCAATATTTAGAACGAAAACGTTTAACAACATTTGTGGTAAATTGGAGACTTTTCGCTGGCTATATCCTTTTGGATTTGGTGTGACTAGTTTTCTTCTGAGTTGCACATTTAATTCCCCAAAAAAAAAAAAAAAGAATTGTCTCCATCCCTGTACCTTCAAGATTGACATTTCTCATCAAAAGATGAGTGAGGTGGCAAGGAACGGGCACTTTGTTTCAGGTAATAATTGAACTATTTTCCCCATTACTTTAGCATAAATTAGAACAAAAAGACTAACAGTCTCCTATAAAATGTGCATCTCCTGCGGCTGCTTGGTGGCATCTTCCAATTGGCTCAGGAGGTCTTCCCGGAAAAAGTAGATCCCAATTCCCAACTGCCCAAGGACGCTACAATTACCTCATGGGTGACATAATACTAGTGTATCATGTTCTATTAAGAGCATCCATCACACGTCACATCAATATTTTATTTTTTTCTCTTTTATTATACTTTCATTCATAATAGATTACACTCCACAAAACGTAATAGTATGGATCTATAATTAAATCAAATATTTATTTTGTTATTTTTAAAAAATAAATTATTAACTTTCATTAAATTTTTTACCTTTTGAATTTTTATTTTCTAAAAATAATATTATTAATTTCTAAGTTTGAACAATATATCTTTTTCTATCTCTCAAAAATAATATATTGTTATTTTTTGAAAAATAATTATGCAATTATTAAACAAATATGTGATACCTCAAATGTGAAGATATCATAATAATTCATACTTAATTAATAATTCTTTATGTAATTAATTGAACTCCATAACAAAATATTACATAATTTAAATCAAACAAAATACAAATAATAACAAAATGAATACTAGTTTTCATTGTTATTGCCTTTGAATCATTTCCAAATATGCTCAACCAAGTTTGATCGAAATTTTGTCTGTTGTAGCTTCAAAAAATTAGTCCATCGCAACTTCAAAAAAATTGGTCTGTTGTTAACATTAATCACCATTACGTGCATCATTTTAATGATGCGTGTAATGAGCATTACACGGTCACAATAAACCTGTGTCATGACATGCATTACACCACGCATCATTACCCTGGGAATGATATGTGTAATGGACCCGTGTCAGAGCATGCATTACACGCGTCATTACCCTCCCCTCCGTTGCTAATTAATAAAGGTCCTCACATCAATGAAGGTTCCGCGAATTTGATCTTACGTGTCTAGTCAACTTCCTTGTTTCCCAAGCACCTGAAGTCGAATGCAATTTGGCCTTTTCTTTCATGCCTTTTGGATCCAGGTTAACATGAAATCAAGATTTGGTTGCAGACATATAAATTGCAGTCCGATCTCACCACTCACCTAATACGAGGCAAAAGAGAGAGTTAAAACACTCCGAAGATAAAATCAAGAACTCTGCAGGTACCAAGAATCAGAGGATTCAGTCAGCTTGATAGAAAGAGATGGCAGATTTGTTCTTGAATCAGGCTAAGCAGTACTCCTCCAGCAGGCCAAGATACCCAGATCAACTTTTTGAATTCATTGCATCCAAAACCCCTTCCCATGACCTTGTGTGGGATGTGGGCACTGGCAGTGGCCAGGCTGCTGCTGCTGTAAGTCCCTCAACTTCTCTCTCCCTTCCATTGGAATGTTGACCATGGATGGTGTGTTTTACTGTTTGCTAGTTCGCACGTTGCAGGTCAGCTGGCGCAGACATCTTTTATTTTATTCCTTTTTGAATCTCTTTTAATACGATTTGGACTCAAAGGAATGTATAACAGATTGAAGTCATCTCAAGGGGATAAATTAACTTAAAAGGCTTGTGATTATGCAATTATGATTTGCTTGTCTCACATTTTACAATAAACAGTATTAGCAGTAATGGTTTTTTGTTACTGTCGGATTTGGTGATAACATATGAAGAAGTTGGTTGAATAAGCAATTGGTGACTTGGTCCTTGTTCGAATAGTCCAACCCTACAATTCAGGTCAAATTGGCTAATAATAGTCCAATTTACTTCTTTGCTTATTTACTGGCTTGATTAGCTGTTTGTTTAAGGTGACCAACTTACTTTTAAGTAGTAAATTTTTGAAGCTGCACAATATTTACCAAGCAATACCTTGGAGCTGAATATGGTTTGTCAAAAAGGGATTGGACAAACTGAATTGTATTACTAATATCGAATGCCTGCCTAAATTCAACTGGCAAGATTGTCTTATCATCTTATCCATGCAATTCATTCTTGTCAGCTGGCAAAGATCTACAAGAATGTAATTGCCACAGACACAAGCCCAAAGCAGCTGGAATTTGCACCAAAGGTTCCGAATATTCGATACCAATGTACTTCCCCAAAGTTGTCCATTGCAGAGCTTGAAGAAAACATTGCAGCAGAGTCCACTGTCGATTTAGTCACCATTGCTCAAGCTTTGCATTGGTTTGATTTTCCTACCTTCTACCAACAAGTGAAGTGGGCACTGAAAAAACCCAATGGAGTAATTGCTGCATGGTGCTACACCCTGCCAGAAATTAACCCCAGTTTTGATGCTGTCTTCCAAAGATTCTACAAAGTTGATACTGATCCTTACTGGGAACCAGAGCGTAAATTGGTGGATAATAAATATGAAACCATCGATTTCCCATTTGAGCCTGTGGATGGCGTTGATCATACGGGACCATTCCAATTCAAAGCAGAGACTGTGATGGATTTGGAAGGCTTCTTCACATACATAAGTTCATGGTCTTCCTACCAAACTGCTAAAGAGAAGGGTGTGGAACTCTTGAATGAAAATGTGGTCAAGGATTTTACCTCTGCTTGGAATGAAGATGGTATATCTAAAAAAGTTGTCACTTCCCCTATTCATCTGAGGATTGGGAAAGTTGGGAATTTGCATTGAAATCTCTGCCTGTTCCAGTCAGCAAGCCCCTTATGGCAATCATTTTCCACTGGTTGGTTTATTATTCTTGGATATAGGCCATGGACCATGGTTGATGGCTCAAAGATAAATAAATTTGCGTATTTCAGCATTGAATCTCCTGTCACTTGAAACTGTTATCTAATTGTTACTATTAGGTGATGGCTAACATCGGATTTGGGGCTTCTTGTTCCCGTTTCTAATGTCTTATAGTATTATGTTTCCAAGTTGAGTGGAAGGCTAGAAATGCTACCTACAGTCAGCCAAAAATTTTTATTATTATTTTTTTTTTAAATGATGTGGCAAAAACTAGATTTAAGGTACCTAAACGTTAAATGTGATTCCATTTTTCCTTTAAAGACAAATCTCGTTCAAGGGTGGGATGCCAATCTATATTTTATTAGTAATAAAATTAATTAGTACAAGAAGGTGGGGTTAGGCATTACCGTTTGCAGTACATGATAAGAAAAAAAAGAATATCATAAGACATGAATATCAAAAGGAAGTGCTACTTCCATAGTGCAAGAGGAAATGTGATTCCATACAAATATGCAATACAAATTAAAACAGAATGTAATTAGCACAAAATAATATTATAAAATTTGTAAAGTGTTATTTGCATAATCTTGGGACCAATAGAAAGTGTATCGACAAGTTTTTCTTTTTTTGATCAGTCCTAGTTTGCAAAAATTTATTTGATTATATCATAAATATTTCACCAACCATTTATTTATATGTTAAATCACCTTTTTTATCTCATATATATCATATTAAGACAGAATGCAATATTAATTTTTCAAAGAATTATCTTAAATACTCAGTTTGAGATAAACAAGTTTGGATTCTCCATTTTTTGAAAAACAAGTTTTTCATTTACAATATTACAATAATATACAAACAAAAACAACTCCAAAAAATACCACATTCATACAATATATCAAAAATAATTCCAAATATACAAAAAAAAAAGAAAAAAATAAAATCTACATCATCTTCTTCTTCCAACTATCACCACTATTGACCGCCACCACCATCCTCTCCTTCCCTCTCTATTCCCGCTCCCTCTTTCTCCTCCCCTTTCCCATCACATCCACCTCTCCCCCCTCCGCCCCCTCCCCCAAATCTTATTGCGACTAGGTTCTGACCAGAGGCCTCGATTTGGTCGAGACCAGATCGAGGAAGGGGAGGGGAAGTGACAGGTGTCGAACCTATGCAATAATCATATTAAAACTTAACTACCACTAAAAGCAGTCAATAATCAATTTTAGGTACTGGAGCAGGGACTCTAGGTGTGCAATGGGTTACTTGATTCACCCTGTTCTCGAAGAGTTTGCTTAATCCGATATACCAGAATTAATTAGTTGACAAAATTTATTAACTAGTAGACAGTGGCAGGCAGGATCATCTCCTCAGGGACTGGGGGTATTTGTCTCTTTGCGGTTCCAATTGGTAAAAAGGGAGTTTATCAGAATAAAGCTAAAAAATAATTAAGCAATTCAACTAAAACGAATAATTAACTAGCACGAAGGTAAACAGGAATTAAATCAAGAATAGATAAATTCTAACCAAGGATACAACTATTCAGACACAGTCAATTCATCCGATCATTGATGCAAGGGAGGTTCACTTTATTTTATTAATAGGTTAGTTATAGTCGCCAACGAGCTCTGACGATTAATTTTTCCTTAATTTATTGATAACCAAGGTACGACCATTGATTACTCCTAACCAGAAAATACTCCTAGGTACGACCGTAGGAATTAATTCCCCAATTGCATTAAGAATTAGAAAAACCTAACCCCAATCAATAACACGCTACGAGGGTTATTTAAATCAGATTGCACGTCCCCCTAGTGTGTAAAAACGCTAGTTGCCACTAATATTAATCGATTAAACAATTACGGGTTTAATTGACTAATTTGGCAGGAGATCAATAAGTCACATTGAACATCGGGCCCTTGACATCCAATTAACAAAATAATCCAAAGGAAATTCAAGTAGACAACGTACAAATATTAACAAATTAAGAAACGCGTGAAAACTAATTCGATCTCATAGATATTCGGGACTGCATCGTCGCGTTGATTCTTAACTAGATGAAAAGCTTAACCACGCCGTATAGTAAATCTCTACGTAAATTAATTGATTGCAAAGGCATTACGTTTTTTTAACTAAAAAGCAAGAAGTAAAAGCTGTTTCCCAGTGGGGAATAAAGCCGAACAGTCGGCCCGCATGAACAAGGAAGAATAATAAAAAAAACTATCTCTAAACAATGACTAATGCTCCCTACTTGTTTTTTGCTGAATTGAGAGAAAGGGTACAAAAAGAGAGCCCTGCGAATTCCACTTTTTTCCTTTCCTCTTGATAGGAAGACTCCTAGTCAGCAACTCTTCATCAGCACAAGGAAAAGCAAGTCCGTTACTTCTCCATGTGGGCCAGGTTTGTGGAGCCTTTTGAAGCCTCCCACGTATCGAAAAATTTTCAAGAAGGTTTCCCTTTTTTTTTTTTGCACTTTTTCGCTCCACTCCCTGAAATTGAGTCCAAATATCAAATATAAGTGGATATTAACAATTAAAATAATATTTGATAAGGACAAAGGAAAAAATTAACAATAAAATTACTAACAATTAACACTCTATCAGGAAGGGCGGGGTGCGGGAAAGGGGAAGGGGAGAAGGAAGGAGGAGGAGGAACAGGGATGGGGAGAGGGGAAGAGAGAGGACGTGATGGTACTGAATGGTAGTTTTAATTTTTTTTAAATACTCTAAAAATACTCCAAAAAAATATTTTAAAACATATTCAAAAACATCATAAAAAACATGTATAGTAAAAGTTTTTCATATATATTTTTACACGTAAATAGTTAATCCAGATGAAGCTACTAGATATTTTTAAATGCACGTCACATCATATGCACTTAGGCCTGTCAACGGGCCAGAATTCATTATTCCGGACCCGGATCCGACCTGTTTACCCGAAGGGTCTTCTACTCCATGTTCCGGATCCGAATTCGACGGGTCTCAGATCCGGGTCAGGTTTACCCGAAAAAATTATCAAAACTTACAATTTCTAATAAAAATGAGAAAAAAATATATTTGTAAACTAATTTCTAACTAGTACAAGACAAAAACCAAATAAGAAAAGAAATCAAATTGACTTAACTCAAATACATCACCCTAATCATATTATATTGATAAATATATATATTTTAAATTATTAATCCATTTACATCCGGATCGGGTCTAATACGGATCGAAATACTATATTCCGTATTTGACGCGTTTTTTGTTTGACAAAATGGATCCGAATCCGAGTCCGGGTAACGGAATTAAATCCCTACCCATACTCGTAATAATTTCACGAATCTGGTCCAGGTCCGGATCTAGACCCGGACCGTTGACCAATGTTTTGAAAACCAGACCGGACCGGCCGGTTGAACCGCGAACCGGCCATGGCACCGGTCCGGTTCTATGCTCTGGTTGACTTTGCCAGAGAACCGGTCAAACCCGGTAAAAACCGGGAAAACCGGTGAACCGTGTTGAACCGGATTGAACCGGTTTTTGAGTTTTCCTTTTTTTTTTTTTTTACTTTTTGCAAAATGCTTCTATCAAGATTCAAACTCAAAACCTTTGTAATAGAAGACCAATGTAGTAACCATTGCACCATCACATCTTATTTGTTTTTTTTGATAACTTATTTATATAAAACAAACATCTATATTTCATTTTTCCATTTTTCTTATAAAATCTCATCATCTCATGACTCTTTCTTTTTAATCTTCAACTCTTTCTTTTTTCCCTCATCTTTTCTTTTGTCACTCCATTTTTAATCAAACCTCATTAGTTTTAATTTATTGATGTTTTCTTCTATCTTTTAATTTTGTTTTTGCCCATTAAATTGGAAAAAGTTAAAAAAGAATTATTTTTCTTTAACCCAAATTATTTAATGCCACAACCACTCACTTTTATCTCATTTTTTGTTTCATATCAAGTTTGCATTTCTATTTTCAATTCTCTTAACTTCTTTCGAACTCCAAACTTTCTTTTTTAAATTACAATCTTTAAATCTCAAAGACGTAAATTAAAATTTAAGTTCACAATATCAAATTCTCATAGACGTGAATTTGTATAATTTCAAAATATTGTGATATTTTTGGGTTGGATTTAAGATTTTTTTGGTAGATATAATTGAAATTGAGATGAAATTTATTTGTTTTAACTTATAATTTAAATAATTTATTTTTGAAAATCCAAATTATTCAAAAATAGTGAACTTTTCATCATATAAAGTTTTAAATTAGTCCATTGCATGTCTTATTTTGTGCATATATATATTTATATAAATTATTTTTAAAAAAATTCATTGAACCGAGGTTAAACCGGTCCGACCGGTTGAACCTCAACCCTTTCACCTCACCGGTTCAATTGACGGTCCGGGTTTTAAAACATTGCCGTTGACAGGCCTATGATGATTCCAACACACAGATTTGGAAAACTCTTTGGGAGCTGAACATAAAACATAAGATCAAGCTATTCATATGGAGATGCATTACGAATACATTGACAGCTAGGGAATCAATATTCAGGCGAACAAAGCAAGGATCGCCATTTTGCTCAAGATGTGGAGATGGCATTGAAACAGTAGAACATATTCTCTTCCACTGTCAACAGGCACAGAAGGTTTGGAAGCTAGCACCAGTACAATGGGATGGTTTACAAAACCAAACAGGGTGCTTTAAGCAATGGTGGACAGCATTAGTCCAAGCCAGAAGTAGGAAAGGAGGAAGACAGCATATTGCATTGACAGCTAATATACTTTGGCAACTATGGAAGGACAGGAACGATATGGAATTTGAAAGGAAAGAGAGAGACGGATGGAAATCTGTACGAAAAGCTAGTACAGAATGGATGGAGTATGAGGAAGCTGGGATAAAGAAAAAGGAGAAAAGTACACCAGAAACAGATAAAGCTAGAGAAAGCTCAAGGGAGGAAGGAAGGGTGGAGGAAGGCCTGATGGAACTTCAAATAGCTACCAAGAAATCAGCTGAGGGCAGGAAGTTGGGAATTGGTGTAGTAGCCAGGCAGGCTGGAGGACGAATCAGAGCGGAATGGAAATTAGTAGAAAGAAGTTCGGGAAGGGAGATTCAAGATGAAGCTGAAGCAGTAAGGCTGGTACTTCTGAAAGCAAGACAATTGAGCTGGCAGAGAATCAAAATCATCAATGCAAACAAACAGCTCATCGCTTTGCTGAAATCTGGGAAAGGAGACAATCCAAATACTGCTACATTGGTGGAAGACATACAAGCTTTAGCTAATCTGTTTCAAATGTGCTCTTTTGAAGAAAGGACTAGTTGTAATATGACTTTATGTAATCACATTTGTCATTATGCTTTAAGCATATGTAGGGACGAGGAGAGATTTTTTGGCTCTCCTTAAGTGTCTTGGTACACTTAGTACAGTTGCTTGAGCCATTGCTCAGATATTGTAAAGTTAGTTTTATTTATAAAATGACATCTATCGTTTCCGTAAAAAAAAAAAAAAAGTATCTTTTGGTTTATATCTACCAGAGAGGCCGCAGTTGACTAGTCTTTGTCTAACAGCACATCGCAGTCCATTTTTTCTTGTTTGTTGCTTTTCACAGGCTATTGAAGTGAGGCCAAAACTCAGAAGTCCAACCAATGACTTATTCCTCAGGTTCAGATCTCTGTACTCATGCATATTTGCAGGATGGCGTACTGGGAAACAATTTGATCAACATTTTTCCGTTTCAATGCAAATTGCTCAACCTTGTCCTTTTCGTCATATACTAAGGCTTCATTTGGATGGGGAGAAAAGGACAGAAAAGAAAGTATCCTGAGAGAAAGTCTTATCATTTCATTTTGGGAGTGAGAAGCGAAATGAACGGATAAAAGTCCCTCTAATTGGTGAAAATTTTTCTGCCCAAAATTGGGAAGAAAAGGATGGAAACTTGTTGGGCACCAAAAAATATTTTTAATATGACAATTTTATCCTTTAAAAGCTGATACAAAAATTCATTATTTCCAATATATCCTAAAGTTGATTTGTAAAAGCACCGATGTGCAAAGCTTTCTCAATCCTATACTTTCAATACTTCCAACTAGTTGAATTCACTTGGCTTTCTTCCGTTCTTCACTCACAATTCAATAACAAAAGGTATTTTTTTTTACTCAATCTCTTCTTTCTTTCTATGCTCAGTCTTCTCTAGAGAATTGTGGTAAAAGCATCTTTTGTGTAGATTGTTATTGTTTATATTCTAAATTTTTTATTCATTTTCAGTCATAAAATTCTTGTCAATGAACTCTTGATTTTTATATTATTGACTTGTGATTATATATTGCATGGTTATGGTACATGTAAGCTTCAGTGGTGATAAATGAATATGAAATTTGAATGCATACAATCTGTTTGTTTATTTGCCTATGTAAGCTTCCAATTGTAAAATGATCATTCTAGAGTCCATAAACAATATGTTAGCCACTTTTTATTGTAACAATGCATCTTTCTTTGAAATGATTAAAAAGATGATGATACTAGAAGTATTATTTTTTTGATGTCTTTTGTTGTTAAAAGTGTTCTGTTGTATTTAAACTGATCAGTACATGAAGGTACCAATGCTGATAATAACACGCAAATGTAAATGACAAGTACCAATAACGAGCTGAAATTTAACACTTGAGTAAAAATGGGCAAATAGTTCCAGTTGCAAAAAAAAAAAAAAAAAAAAAAGAAGAACAAGTTAATGCAAAGAAGGCAAGAAATGGATGTAATCAGAAAGTTACATGTCTTGAAAGCTGCTCAAAGCATTTTCCCTCTCCCATCTCCCCTCCCCCTCACAAGTATGAAAAAAAAAGCCCAAAAGCATATGATAAAAGGAAATTAATTAAGGAAAGAATTAGAGGAAAAAAAATAAGGTGAGGAGTGAGTTTCAGCTTAGCAAAAACACTAGCTGAAACATGTATAATGGCATTTCCAGTCAACATCAAAATCATATGTCAAGAATACCTAAAAGATACTACAAGGACTTGAGGCGATTTACATGCATGCAAGAGAATCAACGTCTAGCAAGAAATTTGTTTTATTATTCACCTTGTGGGAATGCATATGCAATTGTTTTAGAAATTTGTCTTACCTAAATATTGGAACAAGAAAGCTAATCTTTGGACTTTGATTTAAAAATTGAAAGGGCAAATAAGTAAAGTTGTATTCTCATAAAATCCATTCTTTCCACATTTCTCCAACTCTCAAATAAGAGAAAGATGTTTCTTTTCTTTTCTTTCGTTGAACTCCCAAACGAAATATGCATATTTTCCCTTCTTTTCCTTTGTTTCCTAAGTTATCTTTTCTTTTCTTTTCTCCTCCTTCATAAATTCCCAAACTAAGCCTTAATAAAATCATAGATTAGATTACTCTGGATTCACTCAAGACCTTGAACATTTTCATTCCTAGATTTACCTGGATCCAATATTAAAAAGTAAAAAAGTAAAAAAAAAACTATTTCCCTTCCTGGAAAAAGCAGAAGATAGTGATCTTTCTTCACAACACTAGGGGATTTGGAATCGTTTATCACTAAAGTTGGTCATCACATGCCAACTCAAATTGGTTATACCATTCTGTCTTGTAAGTATCTTCAATCACATTCCCTGTCTGCTGTCTCCTTTCGTTGTGGACAAATGAAAGTTTATTTGTTTAGGCTAATCAAAGTCTCACATCAATGAAAGGTAGATCATCCGAATTTATCATATTATTATTGAAAGGAGCTGCTTGCAGGGATAAAGTTCTCAACATCTTTGGGAAAACAAATTAAGTAGACCAAGTACCTCAAAGAACTATAAAGTCACATTCAGTCTCATAGGCAGATCAGAGATGGCAGAATTGTTTAATGAGCAGGCTAAACAGTACTCGGAAAGCCGGCCAACTTACCCAGAGGAGCTGTTCCAGTTCATTGCATCCAAGACACCGTGCCATGACCTCGCTTGGGACGTAGGCACCGGCAGTGGCCAGGCTGCAAGAACTGTAAGCATCTTTAAACCAGAGACGACCCTAAATTTTTCTTTGGAACAGTTTTTGTTGAACTGTGCTTTACTGATTAATCACTACTGACTTTTGTCAGTTGGCTGGGATATACAAGAACGTGGTAGCCACAGACACGAGCCCAAAGCAACTGGAATTTGCACTCAAGCTTCCCAACATTAGATATCAATGTACCCCTCCTAAGATGTCTATTGCTGAGCTTGAGCAAAATGTCTCGGCAGAATCAAGTGTTGATTTAGTGACAAGTGCTGCAGCTATGCACTGGTTTGATCTTCCAACTTTCTACCAGCAAGTGAAATGGATACTAAAAAAGCCGGATGGAGTAATTGCAGCATGGTCCTACGCTAAGGCGGAGATCAACGCTGCCAGTGCTAACACTCTTCTCCAAATACTATACGATAATTGTGATCCTTACTATGATCCACGAGCCAGATATTTCGTACATGACAGGTATAGAACCATTGATTTCCCATTTCAGCCAGTTGATGGGCTTGAGCACACTGGACCATTTGAATTCAAAACGGAACGCTTGATGGATTTAGATGACTGCTTCACATTCATAAAGTCATGGTCACCGTACCAAACTGCAAAAGATGCAGGAGTTGAACTCTTGAGTGATGATGTAGTTCAGGACTTCACCCGTGCTTGGCATGAAGATGCCAATCCCAAGAAAGTTGCTACTTTTCATATCAGCCTAAAGGTTGGAAAAGTTGGGAACTAGAACAAGTGAAGGCTTTGCAGGTTCGTTTAGATGAAACTTCTCATTTCCTACCGATTGAGTTCTGTATCAAACATCAAAGCCACTAGCTCATAATTACATTATGTAGGTTTAATTCCCAATAATTATTGTAAGAAGGTGAATTCATAGCCAGTTAAGAGACCTATATTCTTTGTCAAACTTTACATATATTAATTTGCTGGGAAACTTATTAGAGCTGAAGTTAATAAAATATGCAGCCGGATGGAAGTCTCTGAACGAACGCTAGAATCTTTATGCTCATGCTTTCCGGGAAGGCAGGTTGTTTTCCTCGCTCTCCTTATGAAAGATCTTCGCTTTAATCTGCTGAGATGAAAACTTCCCTTCCTTGTCTCACTTCGACCTCTGTCTCTGCTAGTACCTACTTCCCATAGTCATTGGCCGATTAATCTGCCTTACTCTCAGATCAGATGTTGAGTCAGTACCAGAATCTTAGCTACGGTTTATTCTAGTTGAGGTGGAATCTCTCTTTCAAGACCTTTTCAGCCGGCCTTCTACAAGCTTCACCAGAAGCGACTAGTCGCTCCCCCGAATGCCTCTTTAGTATAGGCTAGTTTGTCTTTTGCCTCCTTCCTCACTTCCTGGTATGGTGACCCGACGAGGAACGACAAGGCCATATCATTATGTAGAATTTGTTTTGAATCATTATCAGGAAATTATCAAATTTATGCAATCTTCTTATGCCTCTCTAATAAAAAAAAATTTAAATTTGTAGTTCACGTTGAAAACTATAGATTAAATTGAAACTTTTCATTCTTTTTATCCCACGTGACAATTAGAATACTTAGATGGCAACAATAATATCGTTATGAAAATAAAATTTGAAAGTGAATCATATTAAAAATATTTTTTTAGAAAGAGTCTTGTTTTAGCAAAAAAACTCGAGCAAAGTAAACCTTCCCACTATTAATGGGATTTGGAACCCCGACCTTGTAAATTGACGGCTAACTCAAATTGAGAAGAAATTCAAAACAATACAAGTTTTGGAGAAGACATTAAATCGCGAGTTGTGATTTCCTTCTTTTTTTAATCATATTCCCTTCCAAGTAGGGGTCTTGGGAGAAGAGGAAATCGTGTTATATTATCAAAACAATGCAAGTTTTGGATAAGACATTAAATTGGGAACTGCACCTGTCTGTTGCAGGCTGTCCTGTTAAATTGCGGTAATATTTGCAAACCTAACAGCCTGTTGGAGGCTGTCCTGTCAAATTGCGATAATACTTGCAAACATAACAAAGATAGGAATCAAATCCCCGATCATTGGACAGGAAGCATAGAGCTCAAACCGCTCAGTCCACAGAAGCCCAAAAATGCTGATAACAAAGTAACGACACTGTGCACCATATCAAGTACTCCCTCCGTCCTGAAATATTTGTCACACTTCGTATCTCACACTTATTTTCAATAATGCCAAAATTTCAAATGATTTTAGTCTAAGTTTCAGCAATACCCTTATTCAGTTTCTATGCATTATAACTTATTGGATGACAGAAAGGTAATGGAGTGGTGGCAAGACTATGGGACGCATGTCTCAAAAATGTCTCCAGCTGTTTTTTTGGACAAGTATCTTGAACAGCATTGTTTGCACTTGCTGTAGGTTCATGCATATCAAGTGTAATTCTTAAATCCACGCGAGTAACACAAAAAAAAAAAAAACATGTTTTTACATTCATAACATGTACAAAATGAAGAAAATATTAAAGAATTAATTGTCGTGTCATCAGCTTATCGCTCTAATCAATATAATTGTTGTTTTTCTTTTGTCATTTTATCTTTTCAGTTGGCAAGGACATTCAAGAATGTCATAGGGACAGACACTAGTCCAGAGCAGCTAGAATTCGCAGCCAAGGTACCAAATGTTGATATGAATGTACTTCTTCCAAAATATCCACAGCAGAACTTGAAGAAAAATTGGATCGGGATCCAGTGTTATTTAGTGACCATTGCTCAAGCAATGCATTGGTTTGATCTCCCAGAGTTCTACAAGCTAGTAAAATGGATACTGAAAAAACCCAATGGAGTAATTGCTGCATGGTGCTATACTGTGGCAGAAGTTAACCAAAAAATCGATCCTCGCTCAAGCAATGCATTGGTTTGATCTCCCAGAGTTCTACAAGCAAGTAAAATGGATACTGAAAAACCCAATGGAGTAATTGCTGCAGAGTGCTATACTGTGGCAGAAGTTAACCAAAATATCGATCCTCTCATGCAGAAAGGATACTATGGTGATGCTCAGCCCTATTGGGAAGCACCAATTAAGCTGGTAGACAATAGATATGAGACCATTGATTTCCCATTTCAGCCTGTGGATGGACTTGATCACACTGGACCATTCAAATTTAAGTCAGAGACTCTGATGGATTTGGATGGCTACTTCACATATATAAGGTCATTGTCAGCTTACCAAACTGCAAAAGAAAAGGGAGTGGAACTCTTGACTGATGATTTGGTTAAGGATTTCACTGCTGCATGGAATGAAGATGGCAAACCAGAAAAGGTTGTTTCTTTTCCAACCTATCTGAAGATTGGGAGAGTTGGCAATTAGTATTAATATGGACTATAGAATCTTCTTTTCCTGAATGCTCATAGTATTATATGTAGGCTGTGCAAACTTTTCTTTACTGTCCCTTCTATGCTCTTTCAGCTATTAATATCTGGTGAGATCATTACTTTATTTATGGTTACATTGATACCAAAAAAAAAAGGTTAGATTGATGCAAGTGAGATAATCTACACCAATATGTAAATATATATTCATTAGCATTACCATGATAGATCACTATTACAATAACAGGACTCTTGATTAAAAAGAAAAGAAGTCAACTTGTAAGAGATAGAAGAGAGATAAGTAATCAGCTACATCAAATTGGATGAAAGAGTAAGCAAGAAATTCGTAATTGAAAATGTCGTCAGCTATGATGCAGGTCAAGACAGAATCTTGTTAGCTGCCAAATTCTAACAAGGTTGCAGAAGAAAACTTCGCTTCCTGCTTGTACTACTTTTTGACTGCTTTACATTTATTCGGGACAATGATGACCACAAAATGCCAGGATCCATTGAACTTCTTTCGATGGACCCATGCCAATTTACTTCTAGTACACTGCAGAAACCATTGCTTGCAATCTTAAAGTTCTTTTATTTTAGGCTAACTAAACTCAAGCATTAATGTGAACTGTAGGTCACCCGAAGATACTGTATTTTTATTAAAAGGAGTTGCTTGCAAGCTTAAAGTTCTCTAACATATTTGGGGGGAAAATACCAGTTTTCATCCCCAAACTTTGGGCACAAGACACATTTCGTCCCTCATTTTTCGGGCATGACACATTTGGTGTCTGAATTAACAATTTTTGACCAAATGTCATCCTCAGACGGCAATCTAGCCAACCTTTAACGGAACCGTTAAGTAAATGTGGCTATCCGAAGCAAAATCAGGTGGAAAATGACGTTGTCTTCACTTTCCCTTTTTCTTTCACTTCAACAACTTCCTTTGCAAATTTCCAATACTAAGCTCCTACTGCAAATTTCTCCAAGAGTAAACTCCCTCTTCCAATTATAAATATATAATTATAATTATATAATACATATAAATATTACTTATACTAATATTTTATATAATTATAATGTATATTAGATATTAAATTTAATCATTATATAACATTATATTCATAATAATAAATATAAATATAATTACATAATTTATTAATATTATATACACATATATATTATAAGGGATAATTTCAGAAACCTCCCCTGAATTAGCTTATGGAAAAATGGATAATTTATGGAGGAAAGCCATAAAGAGCTAGTGTTTTATTGGAGAACGGGTTTACTTTTATTTTATTCGATAAATAAATTTGTTTATGAAAAAATGGGTACTCTATTCTTATAATAGAGGAAAGCCATAAAGAGCTGGTGTTTTATTGAAAAATGGATTTATTTTTATTTTATCCGATAAATAAATTTGTTTATGGAAAAATGAGTACTCTGTTCTTATAATGGAGGAAAGCCATAAAGAGGTGGTCTTTTCTGAGAAAGGGATACTTTACAGAAAGTGACTGCGATTTGGTTTATGAAATTATCCCAAAATTTTTTTTGAATGAATTTGTTTATTTAATTAAATAATTATAACATATATTTATATAATACATTATATAATTATACTAATATTATTATAAAATATATTATTATAACTATATAATATATATAAATATTAATTATACTAATATATTATATGATTATGAAGTATATTATATATTAATTATAATTTTTAGTATATATTAGTATATTGATAATAATAAATATAATTATAATTATATAATATATTATTACTATATACACATATATATTATAAATATATGCACATATAATATGTATTTATAAATATATATATAAATATATTATAGTTATTAGGGTATTAGGGTATAGTTATTATAGTTATTACCCTAAATATATTATAGTTATTAGGGTATATACCCTAATAATATATTAGTATAATTATATAATGCATTATATAAATATATATAATAATTATTTAATTAAATAAACAAATTCATTCTATTTTTTTTTGGATAATTTCATAAATCAAATCGCGGTCAGTTTCTGTAAAGACTAGCTCTTTAGGACTTACCTCCATTATAAGAACAGAGTACCCATTTTTCCATAAACAAAATTATTTATCAGATAAAATAAAAATAAACCCGTTTTTCAATAAAACGCCAGTTCTTTATGGCTTTCCTCTATTATAAGAATAGAGTGCCCATTTTTTCATAAACAAATTTATTTATTGGATAAAATAAAAATAAACCTGTTCTCCAATAAAACACTAGCTCTTTATGGCTTTCCTCCATAAATTATCCATTTTCCCATTTTTCCATAAGCTAATTCAGGGGAGGTTTCTGAAATTATCCCTTATAATATATATATATGTGTATATAATATTAATAAATTATATAATTATAATTATATTTATTATTATGAATATAATGTTATATAATGATTAAATTTAATACCTAATATACATTATAATTATATAAAATATTAGTATAAGTAATATTTATATGTATTATATAATTATAATTATATATTTATAATTAGAAGATGGGGTTTACTCTCCGAGAAATTTGTAGTAGGAGCTTAGTCTTGAAAATTTGCAGAGGAAGTTGTTGAAGTGAAAGAAAAAGGGAAAGTGAAAACAACGTCATTTTCCACCTGATTTGCTTTGGATAGCCACATTTACTTAACGGTTCCGTTAAAGGTTGGCTAAATTGCCGTTTGAGGATGACATTTGATCAAAAATTGTTAATTCAGACACCAAATGTGTCATGCCCGAAAGATGAGGGACGAAATGTGCCTTGTGCCCAAAGTTTGGGGATGAAAACCGGTATTTTCCCCATATTTGGGAGAACAAATTAAGTAGACCAAGTACCTCCTCTCGGAACTGGTGAACATACATACCCACCCATTCAGTCTCATAGGCAGATCAGAGATGGCAGAATCGTATGATAAGCAGGCCAACTTACCCAGAGAAACTGTTCCAGTTCATAGCATCCAAGACACCGTGCCATGACCTTGCTTGGGATGTAGGCACGGGCAGTGGCCAGGCTGCGAGAACTGTAAGCATCTCTAAACCAAAATTCAACTCTGCATTTCTTCTTTTTCAGGACAGATTTTCTCGAATTGTGCTTTGCTGATTTATCACTACTGACTTTTGTCAGTTGGCTGGGATATACAAGAACGTGGTAGCCACAGACACGAGCCCAAAGCAACTGGAATTTGCAGTCAAGCTTCCCAACATTACATATCAATGCACCCCTCCTGAGATGTCTATTTCCGAGCTTGAGCAAACGGTCTCAGCAGAATCAAGTGTTGATTTAGTGACAAGTGCTACAGCCATGCATTGGTTTGATCTTCCAAATTTCTACCAGCAAGTGAAGTGGATACTAAAAGAGCCTGACGGAGTAATTGCAGCATGGTCCTATACTAAGGCAGAGATCAACGCTAGCGCCGCTAATGCTCTTCTCCAGAAACTGTATGATGATAGTGATCCTTACTTAGATCCACGAGCCAGATTTTTCCTACACGACAAGTATAGAACCATTGACTTCCCCTTTCAGCCAGTCGATGGACTCGACCACACTGGACCACTCGAATTCAAAATGGAATGGTTGATGGATTTAGATGACTGTTTCGCATTCATAAAGTCATGGGCACATTACCAAGCTGCAAAAGATACCGGAGTTGAACTCTTGCATGATGACTTTGTTCAAGACTTCACTCGTGCTTGGCATGAAGATGGCAATCCCAAAAAGATTGCTACTTTTCGTATTAACCTAAGGATTGGAAAAGTTGGGAACGGGAGCAAGTGAAGGTTTTGCAGCTTCGTATGGATGAAAGTTTCCATTTCCTACAGATTTGAGTTCTGTGTCAGATATCAAGCCACCAGCTAATAAGTACATAGCTTTTAGAGTGATTATTTCTCAAAAAAAGTCATTTAATAGCCAGGTAAGCCACCTATGTTCTCTTGACAAACATTTATTTACTTGCTGGGAAAATTAATTGAAGTTAATAAACATCCATCGAATCTGAAAAGAGGTTTAGAATACATTGTCCAAATAATGCTATCCTGTCAAGAAAATCTCAAATTTACCAAATTCCGCACTTGTCAATTCAGAAAAGTTCGTCTTATACTTGCCTAAAGTTCCATAATTGGCTATCCTGTTCATTATAATAAGTTTTATATCAGATAAGTAGACAAAGCTAATGGTGAATTAAGATACATAAGAGGTAAAAAATGAAAAGAAGAAGAAGATTACACCTAACTTATTGAATGGCTGATAGTCAAAACTGCACACTACTTGATGTAATCAACGGATTGATGACTAGAAGACTAAGCCTAATTGGATAGTTTGAGAAAGTATGTTTTGGTCCGGAGGTACCAAATGAAATCCATTGACATATATATATATATACATACAATGTCTTAACTTCGACTAAAAGTAATCGACAGGCCATCAATTCATAGTTAGCAGGGTTAAAATGCATCATCTTCGAAGATTGTAAATCGCATATCCGGGAAGATTGTAAACCGCATATCAGGGAAATTACTCTTAAGACAACAATCCGTCATCACGATTTTCTGCTAGCTAATGCAGTTATAATTCCTCCAGCTATAAGTCCCACAGTAGTAACTGAAATGCCAATTCCAATGACACCATCTGCACCATAAAGTTAAACTTTTATTTCATGTATTGCTCTACTCGAACAAAAAATCCTGAGGATTCAAAGCAATATGGCTATCACCTTTTGTAATTTGTTCTATGACTGTCTTCTCAAGGTACAAAGCCTGCCTCCAATCAGGTTTAATCTAGCAAACAAAGACAAAACCAAGGGGATAAAAGCACCACTCTTGAACGCAACCAAAATGTTCAACAATTTCTTTCTTTTGACAAGTAATAGTCACGTTAAACTATGAGCAATTTCACTAATGGGAGCAGAAAACTAACCTCCAAACATTTCTCTACAAGCTGCAGGCTCCTTGACTACTCACCACTTCTATAACAACCAACAGATAGAAGGTAAAGCTTTTCACTCTTCTGCGATGGACTATTGGTTCCAGAGAGAGAAGCTGCACACAAACAATAGTCAGTCTTTAGTAGTGAGAGTAGTTTGCAACTCATGTTTAAATCGAATTTAAATGCCAAAACTCCAATTGCAGTTCTCTCCTTCCAGCTTTCTACAAAGGTCACACACTCTCAAAACAGTATTTTTCATAGTATAGCAAAACTTACCATTCTATGTAAGTAACAAGTACTACAATAAAATTGATGTAAAATTTTAATTCTTCTACTTGTGAAACTCAGCGAACTCTAACACATGCAATGACATAATTCCTTAATACGACATGGCATATGCTTATGACATGCAGTATTATTTAAAAAAAAGGAAAAAAAACTCTTAGTGACATGATTACTTCTCTAGATAACAAACATCTACATTCCAGTGGGACAAGTGTCATTGAACAACCATAAACAAATAATGCATGTAGTTACTCATGCACGGAGGGCACAGATGGTCAATGATTAGGAAATTTTTTTTTGGCCAAAGAGTTTAAAAACAATAATAATGAGAAGAAGAGGAGGTATGAGAACTAAACACGGATCAAAATATAAGGCATAAAGTGGTTTTCTCTGCTTCCTTGTATAAGTTGAATGTGACTGAACATGCATATAAGTAACAAAGCAACACAATGAAATGACAATTATTTGCAAGATGTTGAAAATATCCAGTAAGCTATAGTGATTAGGGAAATAAAGGGACACAAATTATGCAAAAAACCAGATTTTGACGTTGAACAAATATAAAAAGAGATTTCAGAGTACTTGGACATTGACAGGTGAGAATTGAGAATGTAAAATCTGATTTTCGACATAAAAGTAGATGTTTGGTGTATTGAGAAATCACCTTCGAGCATAGCAATCCCTCGCTGCACATCTTCCAACTGTGTAGAATGAACAAGAGCCCATGACAATCGCATAATGCTTTCACTCTTGTGTTCATCAGTACCACTATTTTCTACCTCTGCCACTTCTTTCTCACAGCCCTGCGGATGAATAAAAGAAACTTAAGGCTAACACCAATGGATAAGATACTAAATGTAAGTTATGCACATATAGCAGCATATGTTACTAATACACTACTCAGAAAGCAATTCCTACATGAAGGCACTTAATATGAGCTTCAGAGACATTCCACAGTGCACTCTCCCCTTCTAAATCAAAAACACCAAAATCTTCCAAGTTATCCAAAAGGAAGGTTTTTGGACAATATGATGTGCATATCTTTGACCGGTGCATACTGTCATTTTTTTTACTCCATTCTGAAAAAGAATCAACCAAAAATAGAACATAAGAAATCTGGTAATCCTTTAAAATCCAAATTATTGTGAATTTCTCAAATAACAATCTGCAAAACTAACATAATTTGCATTTTTCCACACAATTTTATATGACATTTTCCCCACTGTCTAACATAGCCATCAATCAACCCGTAAAGACCTTCACAACACCTCTTGAAAGAATCCTGCTTCCACAACTCCCTAATAGATCAACTTTTGTGGCAAAGGGTTGTATTTTATGCAATGACATTGCTCTGGAAACTATCAACTTCCAAAACTTATCCTAGTACAACTTCTAAAAGCATCACGAATAGGCCTACATTGCTTCTTTTTTTTTTTTTTGGTAGATTATAGGCGTACATTGCTACATGCACATATATTTTTCTCATTTACGTTTGAATGGCTATTATTTTCTGAAAAATTACATAACACGTTTCAAAGCACCTTTTAATCTTACATGAACATTTATCCAAGAAATAAATAAATAAAAAAAGATAGACTGCAAACTATCAATTCAGATTATGGATGATTGCTTCGATTGCTACTTTAAAAAAAAAAAAATACCTCTTTTTTCCATGTTTCCAGACGTACCTAGAAATCCAAAGGCTAGATTACGAACATAATCTACAAAAAAGGATTTCTACCATTTTTTTCCCACAACAACCAAATAGACTTATGAAAGAATTATAGAATCACAAAACTCTAGAGAATTGAAGAAATTCTAGAAACCCACGTCAAGTTTCTAAGATACTCAATCATGCAAGGCTTAAAAAGTTTAGAAAAATATGGATACAACCAAGAGAAGTCGGAAATTAATGCCAAAATTTTAACAGGGAAAAAAAAGGGTGCAAAAAACTTGGATCTTTACAAGGATAATGTCCCGATTGCACTTGGGAAGGTGCTGTCCAGGGTTGAAAAAGGAGGTGACAGAATCCAACCATTGCGAAATCTTGGTCTCCATCTTCACTTCAATATTGAATCATAGTTTTAATTTCACGCTATATATGTCCTAGGCATGGAAGGGGAGACATAGGCGAGGTATTTATACCTTTGGGGCACTCTGGGCTTGCACGTTTGTAAGAGTTGGGCTGTTGGGAATATAGAGCTGCTGAAATTGCCATTAACAATTATAAAGGCCGCACTCGATTTCATATTGAATACTTTTGTATGGTGCTCTTATTTGACTTTTTTTTAAAAATCTTTTAGTAAGAAGACGGTGAAATTTAAGAAGTTAAATTTTTATTTTATTTCCCATAGCTTAGACACATTAGAATGGGTTGTGCGTGTGTGTGTGTGTGTTAGGGGGGAGGGGGGTGGGAAATTGTCACTAACAATTATAAAGGACTAATTGGGTTGGACTTATTTCAATTTCGTATTGGATACTAATCTCCTTTTGAGTTTTGTACGGTGCTCTTATCTTGCCTTCTTTTTTTTATTGGTCTTTCAGCAAGGGAATGGTGAAATTAAAAAAATTAAAGATTTTTTTATCTCCCATAGTTTAGAGACCTGAGAATGGATGTTGGAAAAGGGAGAAGGGGGGAGGAATTGGATTAGATGGTAAGGTAAAAGGGAGTCACTCCTCTCACTAACAAGAAAAAAAATGGAGATGCCTTAGAACCCTTCATTGTATTTGAAAGGGGAAAAAAAAAAAAAAAGACTCCATCTCATGGGATCTTGTAAATGGGGCTTTAATTTTATTATTATTTAGAATAGTACTTTTTGATGATATACATACATAATATAAAAAAAATAATAGAAAAGATATTGACAAACGTGCGTAAAAAGAATAAATAGATTGTTGTCCACACCCAATATTTAATTTGCGGGATAAATAGTTAGCATCACATTATGTGTTTTTGTGGATTCTAACCGTATGCTTCCCGAATTTCATCTCCCAGCAAAATGGGCACATTAAAGCAAATTCTTGGGCATTGATGCAACCTCCAACAAGGCTATTGAACACCAATCTTGTCTTAATAATCTATACTAGATACATAAGACCGATAGACTTGGTCAAGCTATTAACTTAATGTTTTAGGATAAAAGTAAAGTGTAAATCTTTACTATACTGATATTTTATATTTGTAAATGCTAACAAGTTTGGGTGAAAGTCAAAGTGTGCAAAATTTATAATTTAAAGTCAAATTGAAATGATATCCCATTCATTAGAATTCGTTAATGTATATACTGTAGAAAAGATTAATCCAAAAATAAAACCTCAAAAGTATGTTAGAGTTTATTCTTTCTTGTTTTCCTTTGGACTGAATGAAAGAAAGATCCCAAAAGAGAAAAGATTTGACATTTACCTTCAATATTTATAGCAACTTAAGCGGACATTGGTTGCATGGAGACACAAACTGATTAAAATGGTATTATATTTGCGTAATATTATTGAATTTTGAGACGAAATAACTCCTTTTCTTTCAAATATCAAAATATCTAATATTTCAAAACAAAATGTATTGATTGCCCACAGTCATCATGAATAAAATAATTTGGGAAAGGAGATTGCGATAATCAAAGTGGCAAAAAACAAGACAGAAATTAGCTAGTTTTCATAATTAAGAAATCTAATTGTTATTTTTATATTGGTCGTTAAGGAATGCAAAAGAAAGGATTAAAAAGAACGTCGATTGACAAAAACATAATTTATAACATAGGATTTATCTGTATCAATTCCAATCAAATATTGAACTTAAAAAGAAGATTAATTTCTTTATACCGAAATAGTTTTATATATTAGATGAATATATTATTTCAATTTGTTACTTGTTTAATTTTTAGTTGTGTGGATTTGTAACAATCAAATATTTTCCAAGTCTTATGTCTTATTTGAATTTATTTTTTAATTATCATTCGAAGTTAAATACTAGTTGTATCATTTGAGGTTTAGTTAGTTGGCGGATAAGAGCACAAAAACTGTACCGAAGCATTCACTCACAAAACAAACAATGGCCCATGCAGGTCTCGAACCTGCGACCTTCGCGTTATTAGCACGACGCTCTAACCAACTGAGCTAATAGGCCGATGTGATTGTTATGGTAAAAGTAACCGTGGCATTGGAACGGCCGTCCACAGTATACATTTTACAAAGTAAACTTTGGAAATTGGGGCATCTTTGGGGACTCGAGAAAATTAAATATAGTTTAATCTCTTCTTGTTCAGACAAAATACCCTCCAAAATCCAAAGTCCCTTAGAGAAATTGAACCAAAAAAAAAGAAAACTGATATTCTGAATTCTGATGTTCCAACCCCAATGTCCAAAGTAGCCGTTAGTTAGTCCGCCTCATGCATTTCAAATTCGAACTCGGTCAAGCGCCCTATTTAGTATTTTCTTCCCATTAATCAAATACTACTGTACTCTACTATTCAGTCCCAAAGCCCAGCCCCTTCCTTTCCTCCAGATAAAAAAATCTGATAAAGAGAGGAAAGAACAGAAGAAATGTTGAAGGCTGCCCAATCTCCATTATCCGACCACCAGATCCAACGGCCGAAAAGTGGCCGGAAGCCACTGCAGCCAAAGAATTCTCCGGCCACTCCTGTTGTCATCACACCCCACCAAAAACCGAAGCAAAATGCTCCAACTGATCGGATTGAGGTGTCAGTGTTGGATAATGACTCGAACAAGGAGAACGTGAATCCCCTTTTTGCCACCCCGGTGAAGAATGAAGAATTCAGGATCGAACAATTCGATTCGTCCCTGGCTGAGGAGCTGAGTGCCATTCGCGAGAAGCTCGAGAGGTTGAGGATAGAGAAGGAGAAGACGGAGAAGATGCTCAGTGAGAGGGATTTGGTTCTAGATTTGCAGATGAATGAGCTGCACAAGAGAGGCGAATCTCAGAAGATGCTCGAAATCGAGGTTGATAGGCTGTATCGATTGAAGCAGCTCAAGTTATCTTGCATGGTAAGAAGGATTTAAGGGCTAAAAAAAACATCTTTCAAGATTCCCTTCATTGCCTTTTATCTGAGTTTACTTGTTAGATTTGATATTTCCAGCGATGGAGGTAATGTAAACTCTCTGAATTTACTTGGGAACAGGGCATTTCGCCAATCCGATCGCTGAGAAATAAGGCAAAAGAAAAGGGCGAGGCAAGTGATCAGTTGTTAAACTTATTTGGTCCTTGTAACTTGATAGAAAGGCCCGTGTCTTCTAAACCTGCATTCTCTGTTCTTTATTTTTCAGGGAACGAAAACTGATTACAGGGATGAAGTTAACCCGGAGGAAAGCCTGTGAAGCTGAGATCAGAAATTAATAGCGACAGATGCAACTGGCAATATAATACTGCCTGCAAATTGAAATTTGACAGGCACGAATTATATATATAGCTCCTTTTCACAATTTTTGTCTAGTGGAAGAAAGAAAAGGGGATGTGAAAACTGAAAACTGGTGTGGCAGCTAAATGGTGGCACAATACATCATTGTATAGTTTCTATCAGAGCTACTATCTCTCCTGTAGCGAAAGAAGGAAAACAAAAAGTTTATCCAATTACTGTTTATGTTTATTTCTATGTGTATTTTCTCTTTAGATTGGCTCTCTCAAGTCTCAACGGAGGAAAAGAAATTATAATATGTTGCAGATTATCATAAAAGCTTGATGGAAAGATGCAGGGCCAAGAAAAGAAAAGATTAACTGGGATGTCATTGACAGCATATTAAGTATTAACAGATCAATCAACAATCAGTACCTTTAGTTCACCTATCTGGGCTGGATGAGATGTCGTTTTGTTCAAAATATATCATGTTCCATTTGTGAGAAGCAGTTGCTTTGATGTGCTAATCAAGAAATATTGCTTCAATTCTCTGCTTGGATAATTTCTTGTCTTACTAGCAGTCTAGCATAGTTCAATTTTGATGTCAGAGGATATGTTTCCTCTCGACCGTTATTTTCCTCTGTATATGAGGAAACAATGCAAGTAGATTGACTTGTTTCCTTACTTGATGATGTTTTGATTTAATCCTTCCTCTTTGATAAGGAAAAGCTGAATAACAGCGCCTGAAATCCTCCTCTGTTTGTTCTGTATCATGACTTGCCAACTTCGATTCAAGGTGCTGTTGAATCTGGATTTTCTTCCACTTTTATTTCCCACATTTAACCACCCATGAATTTTATTTTCCGAAAACACAGAATAAGTAGTTTTAATCCACATAAATCCTATATTTCCTAGTTAAGGTGGGGCACTTTGGTTCCTTTTTGTTTTTGCCGCCTAAACTCAACATGCTTACCAACTTAACTGAAATGGTTCGGCAACCAACACATAAATTATCCCAAGTTCTAAACAACCGCGCATGAAATAGGAAATCACACGCTTAAGTGCAAGTCTAGTAAAAGACTACCAAAATGGAAAAAAAGAAATGATCTTTGGATCATAATCCTCTTGGGGATGGAGAACAAATTGATGGATTGCAGCTTATAACAAGTGCTGGAGAATTAAGGGATAGTTCTGTGGTCGTCGGAGCACAAATTGATCAATTGCAGAATGTCATGACAAGTGCTGCAGAATTAGGGGATATTTTTGTGGTCAATGGAGCACAAATACATGGATATGAGCAGATAACAAGTGGAGCAGGCCATGTTTCAATGAAGGATCAGATGCAAATCAGGCATGAAGAAGGGATGTCTCAATGCAAGGCAATGAGGGATCAAGAGGCAAATACTGCACCTACTAATCAAAGGGCAGATGATGACTTCGGAGTTGCAGATGAATATTCCAAGCTCAATCCAAATCTTGTACTAGGAGATGAGATCTACTTGATTCTCCCTCACTATGATCTGGATAACAGATGGGAACAGTCCTACTCAATATCCGTGCTCATCTTTTGATGTGGATCCCGCTCTCTTAGCTGTGTAATAGTCTGATAAACCCTGGCTTCCCAAATGAATCAGCATAAAAGCAAAACAAAAAAATTGTTAAAAGGTCGTGAAGATTTTTTTTTTTTAATCTGTGGCAGAGTATAGGACCATGCTGCAATTACTCCACTGGACTTTTTCAGTACCCGCTTGACTTGTTGTTGGTAGAAAGTTGGAAGATCAAACCAATGAATAGCTGTAGCAATGGTCATGACTAAATCATCATTTGGTTAATCTCAGCTATGTGAACTTTTCCACAGAATAGGTTTATATAAATATAATATATATGCAGCTTATGCATCCTAAAAAGAAATCATACTAGAGATTCATAAAAGAAACCAAGATATGTCTCTAAATGTAAACATATTTCATGTACAGAACTGGTTTTCAATAGCTATAAAAATGCAGAGCTGCAACTCAGGGTTGAGTTCAATATATCAAGTTGCGGACAAAAGTTAACTATTTGAACAACTAGGGATCTACACAAGTTAACATGATGTGTGCAAAAGTACTAGTATTCGATGATCTTTCCTTCTTCTACTTCCCGACATAAAATATGTGTCTTCATCATCATCTGCTGCCACGAATTCCTCCTTCAAGTGCAAGCCAAACTGTTCTGAAGGGTGCACAACCTTATCGGTCTTTAAGCCTTTCAATACCATCATAGCCGATCTGTTGCTTCCATGGACAACGTAAGAGGGAGAACACTGACTTAGTTGCTCAAGTTCCTGAGAATCATGAGATTGTCCTCAAAGTCAACTGTGCTTTCCATCATCTGCAACGCAAAAAGGGCAGCTTCCCTTTCTTTTTGCCTCAATTCAGCTTCTTTCTTCTTTAAGTGCTGCGCTGCTGCTCTTATTGTTGCTGCTTTAAGCTCCTCCCATAGCGCCATGTTATCGTTCCAATCTTGATGGACATGGACATCAATTTTGTCAGCTTTTGCTGTAGAGATGATTTCAGAAAAGCGAGGTGTTAACCTAACTGCACTTAAAGCCTTCTTCAAAACGTATTCGTTATCAGGATTTGGTCGACTTTTGCTGCAGCTTTGATCACCAAAAACACAAAATTTCCTTCCTGCTGCTTGGTTTTACAACTACTGATTGCACCAATCTTCTTCTTGCAGCGTTTCCATCTTTTTAAAGTATCCAATATTCTTTTTCTTTTTCCATCGCTTTTATGACCATCTAGAACCAGAAGTACTTGAGCAACTTTTTGATCCTTGCTCCCATTAATTTGCGACGTTGATTTTCTCCCCACTGGATTGTTCTTCTTCCCGACCATGCCATGCCGTTCTGTTATGGTATTGAACCAATTAGCAGCAATGGTGACAGATTAGTTGCAGCAGAAGTGAATTAACTCCTGACGAATTTGAATGGAACAGGGAATGGAGATGATTATTGGAGCTTCAACTTCTCATTAACAATAGGTATGTCAAATACAGGAACAGAATCAACGGATTTAGGATTGAAAGGGAAAGATTGAAGGAATTAAGAGAGAAGAGAGGAGGAAGTTGGCAGGGCCAATTCCACTTTACAAACAATGGAAATAATATGACAAAAATCTATGCTAACTCTCGGATTCTTCAGCCTTTTATGGCATTTCCAGACTAACTAACTTGTAAACTAGCTAATCAGGTGAGGCCACGTGGAAGTTCTGGAATCATCAGCTCCACTTGCGCCAAACAGAAGTATAATTCTGTTATATCAGGTAGAAGGCGTGATTTGTAAGTCACGCCTTTCTTCATCAAGTTGAGCAGCTGCGCCTTCAATGCAATCTGGAACACGCCTCCTGTTTATTCTTCATACTCCATGACACGTTCTTAGCTACTCCCATGTGCGATGGTAACAACAAAAACCAACCAACCCAAGAATGATTGTACTTCTAGAGGTCCAAATCTCCCAAACCCAAGAATCAAACCAGATAGTTTTCTGAAGAAAACCAAGATATAACTACTTTGTTACTACTTGCTAGGGATCAAAGAAAGAAGAAGAAACTAGTTTTGGTCCTTGGATGATATGAATAATGATGAAGTTTATCGCTCCCTTCGGGTAGTTTGCTATTCCAAGATCAAGGAATGTAACCCTCGATGATATGATCACTATGTTCTTGTTTTCGTTGCGGCCTGTAGTTTAGAGTAACAATGAACAGAATCCTTAAATACTAAACGAAACCTGTTGGATTTAGGAAAGTGGAAGAAACAGAGGAGCTCGTGTCTGGCGGCAAATTTCAAAAATAGCCGTCAGATTATGGGCTTGAGTGTTTCAGCAAAAGACCTCTCTTATTTTGCCCTTTTCAGTTTTGGCCCATGCTCACTTTGGGCAATTGCAATTTCTTTCTGCTTCCATAAACATTGATACCCTAAGGGCTAATTACAGTAAATTCTCCTAACTTATAGCTATTTTGTACTTTATTCGCTTATATCATTTTTCTCTTAATTTGTCTATTAGTCCTTAAAACCATTAGTCAACTCTAATATTTTGTATCACTCAACATAAATTTATAGATGCAAAAAAAAAAATTTAGAAAAATTTAGTAATTCAAATAAATTTTAATAGCATGTAAGTATATATTAAAATAACAACTCCGGAAATTAACCATATTTCTCTTTTTTAGTATTATCAATAAAAAAAAATGTATACTTCCATATAAAAATGGTCTAGCTATTAAAAAAAAGTTTAGCCATATGCACATTACTAAAGAAAACTGACAATATGTTAATCATTTTTAGACTTTTAAAAATAATTTTCATATTTTAATTTTTTTAATAATAATTTTTTTCCTACTATTGAATCATACTAGCAAGATATTCTCATCAATCTAAAAAAAGGTGCAATTATGGAATGAAATTTAACTAGGACCATACATATATATAAATTATTATATTTTATTATTGTGTTAGGAATATTTATTTTTTAGATATTAATTGTTCTGGATGTTATCAAATATTGGAGTTCATTAATGATTTTAGTAATAAATAAACAAATTGATAAAAAAAGGGTTAATCGCACTTTATCCCCTTTAAGTATGGGTCATTTCTCAATTTACCCCCTCAACATTTGTTTTTCCTGAGTTTACCCCCTCCATCAGTCCAGCTAAGCAATTACACCGTTAAAAACTTCAAGATGTCGAAATTGCCATTGGAAGAGAGCCGTTTGTTTTGGATGACTAAAATGTCCCTCAATGAGTTATAAAAGAGGGTGTCTGATACTTTTTAGCCTATTTTTTCTCTTTCATGCTTTTATCCAGTTGCAGCCTATTTTTTTTCTTTCACTTTAGCAGATCCAACAGCTCCTAAAATTTTTCTTTCTCAACCAAAAGCATCATAAAAATGTCACAAAGTATTTCAAATAACGTTGAAAGATCACCCCAAAAAATGTGTGGATGTGGTAAAGAGGCACCATTGTGCACCTCTTGGACACTTGAAAATCCGGAAAGAAGATTTTACAGCTGCTCAAATTACAATGTAAGAATTGTTCATTAATAATCTGTTATTATTGTCTTTAATTTTGCTCTGTACATGAATAAGTCAGAAAGAGTTTTAGACAGCTATATTTTCTTTTTATTTAGAACTAGTATGCATGTGGGCACTTTTCATAGGTAGATCCTGAAGTTTGTAGCAAAGCAAAAGAAGTGCAGCG